TACATAGAGGCTTCAGTTGATTCTGGCAAGGAGAATTGTTAGAATTAAGGACACTTCAATTATCCTTTTATTCAGACAGGTGAAGAAAAAGACAAAACAACACAAGTATTTATTATAGAGTAAAACGATAATTTTAAAATATAAAAAATATTATTTAAACAACCTTAACAATTCTTTACATAGTAATAATTTTTTTTTTTAAAACAAAGGTAATTATAAGGGAAAGGAGAAAAGCATGGCCTAGTTGATGGGAGAATTATCTTAAATTTTTAAGTTAAGTGTAAATATTTAAATAGTTAGTGAATTCAAACTTCCAATCAACTCTATTCAATTATTAAAATTTGAGGATAAATTATTAAATCTAAAGAGTCAATTTAGTAATAATTTGGAGTGTTAGCCTTACTCAATGCCCATAGAAAGAAACAATTTACATGTCTCATGAAAACAGGGGAAGCCCAATGTTCTTATATAGCTAAAATAACATGTGGATATAAGTTTTAACAAATATGACTAATATTCAATCAAGGAAGCTGTAGATCCCCATGTCCCAATCTAGTACATGAGATCCTTAATCAAGTAAAGATCATTTTTTGTAAATTGCGTATTCAAAGCTTATAGATAACATTTTCCTCTCTCTCAAGTTGCCCTTGTTCAAAAAAAAAAAAAAAATCAAGGAAGTTGTAATTTGAACAACCAATGTACTTAAATCATTCTTCATGAATAAAGCGAAGTTAATCCTATCTACCAAATTTAGAGTTTCAAACCATTCATCGTAGGGGATAGAACAAAGTTAGAATTTTCATAACATGAAACTGACAATAATGAAAGACAAACACTGCACGCCCCTAACCCACCGACACCCACTTCATGTTGCAATTTTAGAACATAAATTAAAATTTAATTCAACTCATAACGGCGGCCCCCAACTACTCCTAATAAAAGCAATCTGATTATTTTTATTATTATTACCACACACTTAAAACTAAGAAAATAAAAATAAAAACTGCCTTTTATCCAATCGCACACGTGACAACCATCCCTCAAGCCACCAATTCCACGTTCATATTGGCCGTTGACTTCTTGACCAAGTCCTCAGCAACACCGTTCGTTGATTTGCCAGTCCCAATTTCTACACTCCTCCTCCTTACCTCATCCACAAACGCTTGTAAGTTCCTGTCGGAAGAACCACCCTCCGCGATGGCTGCCTCGGCCGCCGCCTTCCACTTCAAAGCGTTTTGCCTCATCTCCTCTGCCTTGGGTCCCACGGTGGCCTCTTTTAAGCACTTTTCAACTTCATCCCTTGGAATTATCCTGTTTTCGGCCTCTCCTCTGCACATCCTAATGCCAGTCTTGAACAGCTCGGTCAAATACACGGCGTCAGTCACCTGATCACCCCATTGTGGGAACGCGACAACTGGCATGCCTGAAGAAAGTGACTCCATGGTCGAGTTCCAGCCGCAGTGTGTCACGAAGGAGGCAACCGATGGGTGAGCCAACACCTTTTCCTGTGGACTCCATTGGACTACCTTCCCATTATCTCCTACCTTCTCCAAGAATCCTTCCGGAAGCGTGAGGAGCTCATAACCGGAATCTTTATGTGGTGGCTTCATGACCCATAGGAAGGAAATTCCAGAGTTCAACAAGCCATGGGCGATCTCATCCACTTGTTCTTGTTTCAGGTAAACAACACTTCCAAATGAGATGTACACGACTGATGAAGATGGCTTGGTGTTGAGCCAATCAATGCAGTCGTCAGCCTGTGGCATCAAGTCGCCGCGTACAGTGCTGTTTGGTGCTTTAGGATTCTTAAACAGGGGACCAACAGGCTTGACGGGGCAGAGCTTAGACACGTACTCAATGATTTCGGGCTCAAGTTCTTGGAAACTCTCCATCAATATGCAAAAAGGCTTGTCAAGGCTCTTGTACTGACCCAGAATAGCCCTCCTCAGGAAAGGGTAAGGAGTAGTCGGATGCAAGAAGCTGGGAACTTCGTCATACTTCAGCAATGGCATATAAGGCAATTGAACATCAATTTCAGGATCAGCTTCGCTCGGGAAAGGCACCAACCCATGATAGTAATGATAATAAGCCGCAAAACAAGCACAAGACTGCACCCAAAGCATTGCCGAGGGCAATCCAAGACTCTCCGCAACGTCAGAAACCCAGGGAATGAATGGATTGTTAATGAGACAAGCCACAGGACGGCCCTGTTCTCCGTTTCTCTTGATCATATCAGGAATCACAACTTTCCCAATTTTCTCCAGCTGTGGCAAGTACTGATCAAGATCTTGACGTCTCGGCTCATCCTCGTCCCATCCATCCTCAAAGAATTCAAACCGGATGTAACCGTCACCAACGGGAGTTGGCTCCTCACTTACATTGCTTGCTTTCCTCATTTGCTTTCCTGTTGTTTCCGGAGTGGTGAAGGTGACAAGCAAGCCCTTTGAGGCAAGTTTCTTGCCAAGCCTGAGGAGAGGGTTCACATGGCCTTGGCCAGGAAAAGAAACAAGTAGAACGTGAACAAGAGATTCAGAGCCCATTTTGGTATTGCTGGTTTAGTTTTTCTAGGCTAGGGCGGAGAGATGGAAATTAGGAAATGGGTTATTCCTTGTGTTTAGGAGTGGTGAGGAAACACTGAATTCAAATGTTACTATATACCACTATGAAATGTGTGTAGTTTTCACAGGAGGAGATTAATTTGACCGTTAGATAACTAGAGTTTTGGTGGATATGTTGACAGTTTGGCTCGTGAAATCAATCAAGAACTGCCGGATCACAATAATGACTAATTAGTTAGTAGATTAATCAGACAGACCAATTCGAGTTTTATTTAGAACGGCAGCTGCTTACTCAAAAATTTTGATTGTGAAGTTAATATTATAGGAATGGGATATTTGCAATGAGCAAATAATAAATTGGCTAAACTATCTATTTGCACCCTATACATTATTCTTTTACGGTTAACACTTTTTATAATTTTTACTTTTATTCAATACCATCCATAATTTGAAATCCATACAACAACCCCAAATTACTAACAAAGTCAAGTTGTAAATAGAGAATTTAATTGTTACTTTTTTATGCAAATAAGGAGTTTGACTATTAATGTTTAGGTTTTTTATAGGCTTTAAATTACGAAAGATGTTGACTATGAGTAAAAATTTTTGAAAATGTTGACAAAAAAATGTGTAGGGTGCAAATAAAAGGTTTAGCCTAATAAATTCAGGGCTTAATACCTCAAAAAAAAAGAGAGATGGAATTGGCAGGCTCAAAGAATGATCTCTACAATTAAGAGCATGTTTGGGTTAGCTTGTAAGAGTTTTTGTTTTTTTGTATTGTTCATAAATAATAAGTTTAAATTTTTATTGGAGGGAAAATTTAAAAATTGCTTTTAGAAATTAAAAAAAAAAAGTGAATTAAAAATGAGTAAAAAAAATTTATGAAAAGTAAAAATTTGAAAATTTTAAGTTTTTATTGTTTATGATTTTTTTAATATTAAAAAAATTTAAAAATATAAATTTTTTTAAAAACATTTAAATTAATAAAATATAAATAATATAAAAAAATTGAAGCACTTGCATGCTGTAAATGGCGAACTTCGGAAGGATATCAGCATTTATGTCAATTCCATATATAGCAGAAAGAGGCATACAGCTAGACAGGACCGTGAATTAAATTTTTTATTCTCTACAGTAGCAGGCTGTGTTTAGTTAATTTTAATTTGTTTCTTCGGAAAAAGAGCTAGTTAATATTAATTTCTTGTTCAATATTAAAGTTTTATTTCAAGAAAAATATATATATAGCTAGACTTTACAGGCTCGCTTGCATTTTCTTTTTAAGTTTGCATGCATGGACCACATAAAAGTGTTTTTGAGTCAATTTGCACCTATTTTAAGGTGAATTCCTCTCAAACAAGACACAATCTCATATTGAACTGGATCAATGAAGAAAAAGAATCACTTGCATATAATTATTTTTTGACCTTGGAATATGTTTTGTTAATCAAGGATTAGCACCTCCGGACTATAGAGGACTTGAACAACTTTGACTACAAATCAAGGTTTTATAATTTTTGTCTGCTGAAAGGGTTTATAATTAATAGATATATACTAATTTTTTTATCATCTAATATAAACTAATTTAATTAAACTTATAGATATATTTTACTACAGCATTATGTATAGAATTCAATGATTACCAGTGGTGGAGGGGCAAATTGAAACATTGATTAAAAAATATTAAAATTATATAAAAATTAAAAATTAAAAGATAAAATAATAAAAGAAAAATTATTGAAAAATATTAATGATCTTTTAAAAGTTTAGGGGGCTTGCGACCCCAGAATCCCTTAGCGCCACCAATGTTGAAAACATAGGCTAAGTGTGCATTAATTACACATAATTATAGAAAAATAGAAGCTAATTTTAATTTTATCAATCACTTAATTAAAATCATCCTTTTGCAAGGAGGGAGGATAAGTAAGGTTGGGGGCCATGCCCCCTAAGCTCTTGAAAAAAAATTAATATATATCCTAAGTATTTATAAAACCATTAAAACACTTACTAGAAAAAACCATAATTCTAGCCATGCTTGTTTACTTTTGTTTTTTTTTTTTTCAAGTCTTTGGTAATTTTAAGAGTACTCTACTCTTGCATAATATAAAATAATGCAAGTTTAAAGTTTATATAAATCACTTCTTGAGTATTCTACTTTCCAATTATGAGTTAAAAGTTTAAAGTTTTTTTTTTCTTTTTTGTTAAAGAATGTTTAGTTGTTTCCTTTATTTATTAAAAAAATCCCACAAAAGAGTAAATAAATTTGGGATAGATGCTTAAGGCAATAGGCGAATTAATTATAAATTCAAACTTTGAACAAGATGAGAATAAAATTTCTATGAAATTTATAATTTACATGCTAAATTCGAGCTGAAGAGGATGGGAAAAAAATTAGAAATGGTAGAAAGGAAAAGATGAAATGTTATGGAGAGTTAATTTAAAGTTTTATATTAATAAGAGTAGCTAGAGATTATATTACTTATAATGGATATGTCTAATATAGTTTACATTATTTTATATTTGGATATCTATTATACAATAGTTTTTTATTTTTTACTTTTCTTTTAATTTATAATAAATTTTGGTCAATTATGATTAGTTAGTGAAATTATGTTAGGTATATGATATATTTATAATAAAGTTACAAGAAGCTGCAACGTCTCATGTTCTAATTTCTGTTTTCTGATTTTTGTTTGGGTTGTATTTGAGTATTGGGTTTCAGCTCAGTTTCTCATTTGTATACAGATGGCTTTTGTATTCGGATAGACGATTGTATTTTCATGCTGGAGTATTTCTTATATTCCTAGAATAAAATTATTACTCTTTGATTTTGCTGATAAAAAAAAAAATTATATGTTATGGGAAAAAAAATTGTTGGCCTTGCCAAACATTTTGCCCAAGCTCCGTCACTGTCCATTTGGCATCGATGTTGAAAACATGATGTTAAGAGCATAGTCTAAGGGTACATTAATTAACATTGTTATAGAAAAATAAATTTTGATTTTAATTTTATCAACCACTTAATTAAAAACATCCATTTGGCATAGATGTTGAAAGTGAAATTAATTTTTTTGTTTTTCAATACAAATTAATAAAAAAAATATGTAATTAATGCACTCTAAAAGTACAAATTAAAGAAATCTTCTAAAAATATTAGGGTGGGTGGATCTTTATATATTGTTCGAATCCACTCTTATTATTATTATATTTTTCATATGTTAAATGATAAATTATATAATATAAGTTAATCCTTTCCTTTTCAAATCTCTCTACATGCATTTAAGAATTTGAATATGAGAAAACTCAAGTTATTAACTCTTGTACAGTAAAATTGTTTATGCTTACCATAATTAGAATTTGCAATATTTTGAAAGAAAAAAAAAAAAAGCCAACATTCGGTCCTGATTATGGCTGCATAATTTTTTTTAGGTCACCCAGATAAACTATAAATTTATTTGATTTAACTAATTTTTATCATTTTATAACTAGTTAAATTATTTAGAAATATGACCATATAAGTTGATTTGTAAATTTTTAAATAATAAATATTAATTATTTTATAAATTATTAATTAACAATTATAACTATTAACTATTTCTTTCTGGCACTCAAATTTAAATATACTTACAATTTTTATGTCACCTGAAAAATGTACTTATGTGGACATAATCATGCCCCAACATTCAACCACCAACCAATTCTATGCTTATGGTACGATTTTTGACCAACTGGTTTCGATATGAATATGCACCATTCTGGGTAAGAAAATAATTCTTCGATTTCATTAATTAGGGGCAAGGCTGAAATTTTATGTGCGTTGGAGGAGGTAAATCATCAGCTCAACTGCAGGTTCAAATCCTCGATATATAACAGTTTGGTGTACAATTTT